TCTTTCCACAGTGGCACAAAACCCTCCTATGTTCAGGGCCCGCCAGCACTTACCACGTTGTGGTTTCTCAGATAAGGAGCAACTACAAAGATGGGAAAGGCCGAAAGCCTCCAAGTTTGCTAACCAAATAAAAACCTCAGCAGCACATCGGGGCAACTTATAAAAAATAAATGCACTGAGTTTCTTTCCGATGCTGGTTGCTGCAGCTGAGATCAGTGGCTTGCTTTGTGCCAGCAAACTTTATAATACGTGTTTGTTTATTCAGCTGGCGAACTCAGATACAGTGTTGGGCTTCAGTGCGAAGTTGACACTAACTTTCAAGCTGCTTGGCAAAGCTTAACATTAAAACTCAGTCACATATTACTGTGCCGTTAAAACAGAATCTTCACATCTCTGGTGCACTTTTAAGCTTAATACTTTTACAAAAATCACTGGTGCAAAAATACTAGAAAAAAATGCCTACTAGTAACCYTGCTAGACTACACCATGACTGCAAAAGTAAGCGCAAATGAAGTTTATTTTTATTCGCTTTGCAGCTTAGTCTAGTATACTTTAAAAGGAGATAATTGTATTTTTTTTTTACATATGGAATTGGATWGTAAATGTTGCAAATACATCAGAAAGAATGTGACAGCTTGCTGAAAAGTACCATTGCTGGAAAAGCCATAAATGGAACTGATGAAAATGTGATACTAAGGGTATGTAAACATTATCAGTTTTTAAATTCCTCCAATTAAAAGTATCCTGCACATGGTATATATATAGACATGCTGCTCCTTGTAGTTATTTCTGAATAGAGAAGAACTTGTATGTAAACACTCTCACTAAATTATTTTACTGCAACAATTAAAGTCATTAAGTATGAATTCAAGTGTAAATATTTCATGATAGTCAAAAAGCGTTTTGAAAGGGCAGCTCCTCAACACAACAGGGCTCCCATGTCTCCCTCACCTCTCTGTTGCATTAAAAGGCACGTTTCCAAGTGCAGAAGTAGAATCACAGAATCATAGAATGCTTAAGGTTGGAAGGGACCTCAGAGGTCATCGAGTCCAACCCACCTGCTCACACAGGGTCACCCAGAGCACGGGGCACAGGGCTGCGTCCAAGCGGGTTTTAAAGATCTCCAGAGCAGGAGACTCCACAACCTCTCTGGGCAGCCTGTGCGAGGGCTCTGGCACCCTCACTGTCAAGAAGTGTTTTCTCAAGTTCCTGTGGAACTTTTGGTGCCTCAGCTTGTGGCCGTTTCCTCTAGTCCTATCGCTGGCCACCACTGAAAAGAGGCCGCCCCCCTCCTCCTCACTGCCTCCCTTGAGGTATTTATACATGCTGATCAGGTCCCCCCTCAGCCTCCTCTTCTCCAGGCTGAACAGACCCAGCTCCCTCAGCCTTTGCTCACAGGGCAGATGTTCCAGGCCYCTGATCATCCTGGTAGCCCTGCGCTGGACTCTCTCCAGCAGCTCCACATCCCTCTTGTCCTGGGGAGCCCAGAACTGGACGCAGTGCTCCAGATGTGGCCTCACCAGGGCTGAGTAGAGGGGGGWCRATCCACTCCCTTGACCTGCTGCAGACGCTCTTCTTAATGCACCCCAGGATCCCGTTGGCCTTCTTGGCCACCAGGGCACCCTGCTGCCTCATGGTCATCTTGTCATACTCCAAATTTTGTAATTCTGTGCTTGCCACATTGAGGTGCATCCAGCTTGTGCACAGTGCAATTCAGGAGCGCAGCGTGAGTATAACAACCTCGCTTTTCTTCTCTGTCTTCCATGTCCCAGGGCTGCCAATGCTGGTCCAGCCCCAATTTTCCACACTTCCCAACTTTAGGCTAGCAGCTGCCACAGGCTAGTGGGGTCTTTTGGCAACCACACAGCAGCAAAGCCTCTCATCTCGTGGAGCGAAAATTTGGCAGAAACTTCTTCTCTTAACCTAAAAATATCCTTTTGCAAGGAAGACTCCCATGTGAATCTTTAAGATAAATTAGCTTAAGTTTTCCATCCATTACTGTAACAGCAGAACACCGCTGCAGAACTGCGAAATGAGGAAAGAGCTGGACTGAGGAAAGAGCTGCATTTTTGCTTGATCTGTAAGGATGTTTAACACTTTTCACTCGTTCTGGGTGAGGCCTCTGTAATGTATATGATGTAATTCATCACAAACTCTCATCTTCTACTGAAATGGGCTTTTTTAAGGTATGTCACTACTGATCTAGTAACTGAGCAGTGCCTCAAAATCTGTCCTTGAATAGATTTCAGCATGTTGGGTTTTGTAGTTCATTTTCTGACATGCCCACCGTTCTAAAAATTCTGATTATTTTTTGTTAAATCATTGTATTAAACATATATATATAATATGCATGAAGATTTAGATTTTCATTCTCAGAACCGTGTATGATATTGAGTGACTGAGTGATCTTAGTGACCCAGCAGGGAGGCTGGGGCTATAATAACATTTTTAGCCCCATATGTAGACACCAGTGAAAACAACAGACCAGATTCTCTGTCTAAGAATAAAGAGCAGTAGAGTTCATGCATGCATAAGGTGAGTTCATAGGCATTGCACTTTTCCGTGGTGCTATGGTCCTTAATGTGATATTCTGAAAAAAAAAATCTGCTTCTCACTCCCAAAGAACAATTCAGAAATTCAGAATTATTTTGGTTCCTGCATTGTGGCTTAACGTATCCTCGTATCTCTGGCTTCAGGACCCCCGTTCAGCACGGATCAGAGAGGGATGGGAATGCGTCATGTCCTTCATTCCAGTAACATGACTCACATGCCTCGCTGGGTGTGTTTACATAAGAATATTCCTTGAAATAAAAATTGAGACAGGAGCAGCAGAATTCCCAAATGAAAAATAGCTTTCCTCAGTTTCTCATGGAGGATCAAGGAAGTCTCTTTTTTTCAAGAGCATGGACCTTGAAAAAAGATCCACGTTTTCAGTCTGCATGGCAAAAAATCCYCCAAATTCAGTAAAATCTACATCATTAGGGCAGCACCTTCCTATAGCACCTCTTCCCAAAGGGGCACAGGCTGCTGCTTCTTACCCTGCACACCTCAGGTTTTAGACTGATGTAACGTAGTTATTTAAACTCATATGTACTAAATCTATAATTTTGGGTGCTGTCTGTAGTTTTATCCCTATTACTTCATATAATTTCTGAAACAAACCCTGTAAGTACTTATTAAAGAAGAGGTGAGGCACTACTTATCGGAAATATTCACTAATGTCACTAAATAGTCACTAAAAATCATCTAATTTACTTGGAGAAAAAAAAAAGGGGGGTGCTGTTTTTGGAGCACAAAGTGATTGTCTTCGGAGCTGTTTTTCTAAGCGTAAGGTCTGGTCCGTAGAAAGGTTCTGCTTCTCCTTGCAGATGATCAGGACACTGCAAGGCACCGTCACGCTCAGGCCGGGAATGTCATTCGCGGAGCAGGTCTGACCACTTGCTCCAACAGCTGGGGAGTTCTCAAGGGAGCACATGGCRGCGCTTCCCCCTCCGGATAGGGCTGGAAAGCGCTCGCTGGAGCCAGCTGGCTCTGCCCCTCAGCGGGATCCAGCCGACATGGGGGATGGCGCCCGGCTTGGCCAGATTCCTGCGGAATTCCGGAGAGCTGCCGCAGCTCCTGCCCGTGCCCACGTGCCGCCCGACACCCRACTGCGTCGTGTCCTCGCTCGCCTGCGTGGCCGCGTCGCCTTGCACCGGGTGTCCGGGCAGGGACGGATGAGATGGAAAGTCCCAGCCCTTTRTTCCGAGGGGCTACGTGCACGAGGCTGAGAACCTGTACAGACAGGGGTGGAAGTCTCTCCACCAATAAACTCGGTAATGTATTTTTATGTTAGGCTGGAGTCTAATGTCTGGGCTGTCGTTTAGACAATGTTGACAATTTTTTCTRTCCCTTTCTCAGTCCCTTTTGTGTTGTTTTTGGCAAATACAGAACCCTGCAGCCTTTACCCATGTTTCTTGCCATTACTATGCTGTATATAGGCCCTGCCTGTACTGGCATCCTAGTAAAGAGCATACAAAATCAAACGATCACATTTGGAGAAAGATAAAAGCAAAAAACAGCTTATAAGGAAGCTTGCCCATTGTACAAGGCCTGCCAAAATGCTTCACTATTCTGCGTCGCCCAAGGACGGGTCATTTTCTTGGGCTGGTTTCTTGGGTCAGCCGGGCTTGTGGAGGTGTATTTTGCAACGGAAGGTATCAGAGGTGTGTGTTTCCCAGTACGYTCCTCATACAGAGCCTCGGGCGTTTCTGTCTAACCACCCCGTAGCCTTCCCACCGCCCTTCCTCCACAGGGATCCGGAGGCTGGAAGGCGGGAACCAGCACMGCGCGCTGTGCGGAAGCAGCTCCCCGCGCCTCACGCAGCGCACCGGAGGCGGGAAAGCTGTGGGCGGGGCGTGTCGCTGTGGGCGGGGCATGACGCACCCCGTAGGCGGGGCGTGCCCCCAGTAGGCGGGGCGTACCCTCGGGGGCGGGACTAGGCTCTGTGGGCGGGGCGTGCCGCCGCCGCCACCTCCCCGCGCTGCGCTGCTCGGGCGCCCGCGCTGCCGCCTCGGCCTCGCTGCGCGCCGGGACATGGAGCGTCGCTGCTGCTGCCGC